CAGCCACAATTATTTTACAATTCCTAATATACCCTTTTATTTAACACTGTATTCCATCCAAATGTATTTCCTTGTAGTGTTGTGCAACTTGTCTTCATCGTTATTGAAAAACTCAGTGATTCATCCCTTTAAAAAAACAGTGATTCATCCGATGAAGAATTGGGCGGCTTCAAGGAAACTCACCAGCAATCTCGTCATCGCAGGGGTCTCCTGGTGAAGCCACGCCAGTGTAAGAGCCTTCGCTGGAAAATTCCCAAATTTGTCTTCACTTTTCTCCTTCATCGTTGCTTCTCTATTCAGAACTACTTTCTGGGTCCTTACATCCATCGCTGGCTTGAGTAGTCGCCAGTTGTCCATCACCCTTATTTCCAGCTGCCGCACCAAAGTATTCATCGTCCGTCCCAAAAGTCTCCAGAGCTCCCCAATCCCTGCGTCCCTCGATCCTAGTAGTTTCCGGCCATTTTCTCGCCGGCCGTCGCCCGAATGAGTCGCGACCTCCGTTTTCCTTGGATGGAAATATGGGTTATGTTTATCTCTTTCTTGAGATTTTCTCAATTTATTATCTCATCGCCGCCTCTGTTATTAAATTGAAATGTTTATCAATTTTAATGATTTGATATGGGATAATCAAAAAGAGGCGACGAGTTTATAGTGGATGGTAAGAGGCAACGAGTTACGTTGATGGTGGACGGTGATATGAATGGTTTACTGGATAGTGAAAAGCCGATGATGATACACCGTAGGTGTGATATGGTGTAAGGGTATATTAGGAACAGTAAAATACGTGTGGCTGTACTTAGTAAATATGGGGCTATGTATAGAATTTCCCTTAAAAAAACTGAATATTCTATAAAATTTGTAGCCATATATTCTCATTTCTCGGAAATCCTGTCTTCCAAGTTTCAGCCTCCTCACTACCTCGCTTCATCGCTGAAAAATATGAACTGGACAGTCCATGCAGCCCTCCTACCTCTTCCTACACCTATCTCGTACGGCTGAAGCAGGGGCACCATCCCCTGGCCAGTAGATCCGCCCCTGTCGATGAGCAAGATGGCAATTCATTGTAGGGAAGTAGAATTTGCTACTTTCCAAGAGACAATGCCAATAGTATGGCACCTGATCAAGGAAGGGGGGTAACTGGTATGCATTGATGAGGTTATGTCGGATTGATAGCTGATCCATGGACGTCTATTTATATATAAGAAAAGAAACAGCTCATCAAAATACAATTTTACCCTTAATAAATCATAGGTGTCGAGTTCTCCTTAATTGTCTCATTTGCTATACTAATGACACGTGGCCATTTTACTCAAAAGTGCCGAACTTCTCACGTAGAAATTGAAAGAAAAGAGGGGAGATGAAGTTGGTGGGCCCCAAGCTATAAAAAACCCCAAATTTCTTTAAATTGTTATAACTTTTTCATTTTCAATTCAAATTTTATAAATAATATATCAAAATTCATATTTTTTTTGTGATCTTTCATATGAGATCCATATCAAATATATAAATAAAATTTATTAACGGTCACTATAATTATGTTTAAGATTATTTATATACATTTCCTGATCTATTTTGTTGCCTGAATTGGAGAAGTTACTGTAGGTGATCATATTTAGCTACATTTCACATATTTTTTTCTTTATTTTATTAATAAAAGTAATTTAAATTAAATTCATCCATACACCAAAAGATTCAACTAATTCAACCACTTCTCTCAGAATTTCATCCATTTCAACAAATTCAGTTGTTTTCAGTACTACTAAACGGTCTCTAAAGTCAAAATCAAGCCATGAAAGGAAAAATCTAAAAATACTAAATTTATTTAAGAATACTTTTTAAGTATTTTATAATTTGATGTGCACTGGGTTAATATATAAAAAACCCGCAAATGAAAATCTAATTAGTTCTAATAAAAAAAATAAGAAGAAAATAAGAAGTCTAATGAAAATAAACTTGCAAATCAAAAGTTCACACTATTCATGATAATAAACCTGCATAGTAGAAGTTCTTGCAATCGAAAAGATATACTCTGTATGAAAAAAAACTCAAAGAACTAACAATCTAATGATGGAAAGTTATGTTAGATTGAAGGACAACAAGTTAATCAAAATGGAATTATTTAATTAAGTAATGAAAATGTGGAAGATGGTGAAACAAAATTGTTATTAGGTGAACCATTACACATTTGTGGAGGATGTGAGGTAGTTTTCTCTCTTATACTCCGTATATAATGTTTATAGGTATAAGATAAGTCGCCTAACAATTGAGCGGAATAATTTTCTCTCTCATATGTAGTGTTTTTAAGTACTTCTTCCGTAACAAAATATGTGGTGCTTTTAGATATAAGAAAGATTAAGCCATAAGCCGTCTGACAATTGAGCGAGATATATATATCTCTGATCTCAATACGCAGTGCTTTTAACTATAACGTAATCCAACTAACAATTGAGAGAGAACTTTTTGTATCATATATAGTACTTTTGGGTATAACCGTATAAGAAAACCCAGCTAACAAATGAGCAATATAATGTTCTATCTCATATGTACCACTCTTAGTTATTAGAAGATAAACTTGCTAAAAATTGAGCGAAATAACTTTATCTCTCATATATAGTTCTTTTAAGTACCCCCTCCGGTTCTAAATTAAGTCTACACTTTCCTTTTGGACAGTCTCATATTAAACTTTAGACTTCCTTATTTAGCAAACAACTCTGCACCAAGCAGTGCCAACAATTGAGAAGGAAAATTGAGCGGGGGAATTTTGTTGCTCATATGTGCTTTTAGGTATTACGTAGTAGAAGATAAGCTTGGTAACAATTGAGCGGAGCAACTTTCTCCCTCATGTGTAGATCTAAGTATAAGATAAGAAAACTAAACAATTGAGCGGAATAATTTTCTCTCATATGTAGTGCTTTTAGGCATATAAGAAGAAAGTAGGAAGACAAACTTGCTAACAATTTAGTGAGAGAACTTTCACTCTCACGGGTAGTTCTTCTTAAGTACTCCCTTCGCATATTAGATAATCCGGCTAACCGTTGAGCGTTAAAATTTTATCTTCCATATGTAGTGCTTTTAAGTATAACATAAGTCGACTAATAATTGAACGGGAGAATGTTCTCTCTCATATGTAGTATTTTTTGATAAGACATGATAAGCTTGCTTGCTAATAATTAAGTGAAAAATTTATCTCTCTCATATGTAGTGATTTTAGTTATTAGAAGATAAAGTTGCTAACAATTGAGCGGAGGAATCATCATATATATGTAGTTCTTTTTAGTATAAGATAAGCCGACTAACAATTAAAGAGTATAATTTTTTCTCTCATACATAGTGATTTTAGGTATAAGATAAGATAATCCGGCTAACAATTGGTCCGGGTGGGAGAATTTTTCTCATATGTAGTTGTTTTAGGTATAACAAGATAAGCCGGCTAAGAATTGAGCAACACAATTTTCTAATTTTCTCTCACATATGTTAACACTATTTTACTAATGAATGGCAAGTTATTATTTACCTAATATTCGTCAATTTTAATATTTATTTTATTCACTTAAACTTCACGTCACTCACTTATTGTATTCACTTTTTAAGATTATTATTTAAGTTTAAAATTAATCTAATCATGAAAATGAATAAGTAGCAAATTCTAATGAGTAGTGTCAATTAACTTTTCCTAATATACTCTTTCAAATAAAACTTTTCCTAATATACTTGACATTGAATGTATATTTTACGGCTTACATTTTGTGGTTCGATAACATCACTTTGACACTCCCAAGGAGGAAGTCACAAGTTTGAAACTCATCCCAGTCAAGGATGTTGGCATTTAACAATGAAGTATTGAACATATACTATAAAGAGAGACTACAAAGTCTAGCAAAAAAATCCTATAAAGTTCTTTTTATTTTAATATTTAATTGGATCATGAGTAAATATATATGCACCAACTGCTCTATCCCGTGCGTATGCACGGGTACTATACTAGTTTGAACAAAACTACAAGTTTTTCTGGAACACGTGGGGCAGCAGGTATAGGGCAATTCATTTTGAGTTAGACCTGCCTGTTAGATTCAGGTTCGAAAAAGTAGGTTAACCGTTAGGGTATATGGTGAATAGATTTAAGTGTAAATAAGACGGGATTTCGGAGAAATGAGAATGGCTACAAAATTACCAGAATATCCATACCGGCCATGAATCATTGTAGCTTCTTCAACACTATTGAGCTCCCAACTTCCAAGTGCAAATTAGCTAGTCTTGTTCGTGTACTCTATAAGGTATCGACTGCCTTTGGCATGTCCGGCCATCTCACCAATGCCTATTAAATCCTCACCACAGTACTCCGCTCAAGAAAAAAAGGTATCCATTATATCACACACACACACCGGAAACGGAGACATAAAACTATTAGCTACTATGAAGCACGGATACTTCTCTAGGGTAGCGTATCGGCGTATCCGATACGTTCCCGTATCCGATACTCTAGGATACCCGTACCATACGTTCCCGGGCCGTATCTGCAATTTTTAAAAGTTTCCATTTTTTTTGTAATTTTTTGAAAGTTTCCGATACTTGTATCCTGACGGATACCCGTATCAACTTTTAAAAAAAAAATCCCAAAATTTACTTAATAAAATTCTAAAAAAAAAAATGAAAATCTAAAACTACATTTTACTTGGTAGTCAAATAATGGGCCTATATGGCTATATCCGAATTAAGTCATTAACTCATACTCTGAATTGGGTACTTGCACTTTTAATTTCAAGATTGTAATTGTTTGACTTATTTCTCATTTTAAATTCATGACTTATTGACTACATTTATATTTCGAGATACACTAGTGTATATGAAAAATAATATGAATTTATTACTAAGTATCTTGAAAAAGAAAAATGTTTCAATGCAATGAATGGGTAGACATCATAGGATATTATATGTATATATATGTGTGTGTGTGTGTGTATATATTCAAAAAAAATCTATTTTTAATATTTATAAATAGACCCCAATAACTTTTAATATTTGTAAATACACCCCCATAACTTTTAATATTTATAAATATGGCCCCGTATCCGTATCCTACTTTTTTTGGTTTTGACGTATCCCCGTACCCGTTTCCGCGTTTCCAGTATCGGTGCTACATAGATTAGCTAGCTATTACGTGCATTGTAAATTGGGTTGCATGTCACTTGAAAACATATTCATACTCACTGCCTATACACACAACCACCAAACGTTTGTAGCTACTACAAACCAATTATGATACAACCCTCACGTTGAACCGAACTAAACTTGTGCAGATTCCCTTTGGTGAATAGGTGATGTGCCTGAACTTGCAGGATTGGCATGGTACTGCCCATAAAGTGCATATATACCAACGGCAACAATGCTGAGAAGCACAAATCTCACCCATGCCTCATAGTGCAACTGCACAACAAAAATTTAAATGATTGAGAATATGGATGTCATTTTTTTTTGGGGGGGGGGGGGGGGATGTTGATGATAAGGAGGTTGAGTTCTTAAGTTTTTATGGTTTACATTGGAATATGCAAAGGAAAATACCATATAATTGTTTGTGTAACTTTTTTAACAAACTTTTAAAATATCTTTGTCTTGATGTATACGTAGTATATATATATATATATATATATATATATATATATATATATATATATATATATATATATATATATAATAGACATACATAATTAAATGAGTATCAAGAAATTAAAAAGGGCAGCCCTATGCACTTTGGCGTCTCCTCAAGGCGAGGATCCGAGGAAGGGACCCATCACAAGTGTGTATGAGAAGCAAAACTCCCCTTGTCATTTTGACAAGACACCACTCCCAAGACTTGAACGTCCTCTCAGGCAACGTGTAAGTGGTGCTCCACGGCTCCCCGTTTGAGTATCAAGAAATATATAGAACAAATTTATCTGTGTTCGCCTACGTTTACTTTCCCTACACATTTCCTCTGCTATATATAGTTCTCAATTGTAATTTCCTTCTGCACTATCTTCTCGGTTTGAAACGCACCCTAAAATTTGTTCATATTATGACAAACAAGTAAACCTGGGCAAATAGAAAAATATTGAAGAAGATGCAGGCAGCTGGAAGGATTGGAACTCCAGGACAAGAAAACCCTGGCGGATCTTCATAAACCTACAAAAAGAAAAAGAAACTCTTTTATGCACAAAAAATTCAAGAAATGAAGAGTGTAGTATGCTTTGATTCTAACGGGTGTTAACGGTAATTACATGTCGGAAATGAAGAGCAACTCCAGCAAATATTGCAATGACAGCAGCTGCAATCAGGAAAGCAAAAGAAGCCCTAAAACGGTAAAGGGCTCCTGCAGCAAACCCACAACAGGCAACTAAAAAAAGGCAAATGACACCTTCTCCTCTCTTTGAAATTAATCTGGCAGTGACTTTATTCTCATTCTTAACTTTCCATCGAAGGGTTACGGCACAAGCTGAAACTACAGAATACCCTGTCTGCAATAGGGCAATGGCATGTGATCACTTTTTTTGTTTACATGTATTAGATTTCTTAAAGTAAAAATACATAAATAAATAAATAAATATATAAATATATAGATAAACAAATAAATAAATATATATATAGATTAATAAATAAATAAATAAATAAATAAATAAATAAATAAATAAATAAATAAATAAATAAATAAATGCAAATGAGGGCAAACAGATATCTTAGGAGTACGCTTGGAAAATGATATGAAAGGAAATTAGTGAGAATAGTATAGGGATAATTAGAAAGAGAAGAATATGTCGAGGAGGTTATATCATTGGTTTGAAATCAATAAATCATTTGCGAACATTAAACTGTTTAAATTTATATTTTTTTTCTATTATGCAAAGACCAAGTAATTCATATATGTGTCAAAACAAGTAAAACACTTCATCAAATTTCATTTACGTTCGTATTTTCCCAGGTAAAGGACTAAAGGCAAGCATAAAAACTAAATTTTCATTAACATTTTTCCCCTTTTCCTACCATTTAGCAAGTTCCAAAGGTGGCCTAAATAAAGTCATTAAGTTTGGGATGATCTTTCAGTTTCACCTGACTTCTTCCCCCCCCCCTGTTTCCTCTCTATTCTCCTTCTCTACTGTTTTCCTCTCTATTCTCCTTTAGTATTATAGGGGATCGAAACCAGACCCTAAGAAAGTGGAGAAAAGAAACAAAGAAAACATACCAAGGTGCCGACTGAGAGAATGTGTGAGAGCAAGTGGACATTAAAAAGGCCAGCCAAGATGATGGCAACAATCCCTACCCATATTTGAGAACGAACAGGTGTATGTCGTGTCAGATGTACTCGAGCAAAGAGTGAAGGCAATAAGCCATCCCTTCCCAGCCCAAGATATAGTCTGGACTGCTCATGGATAATAAGATCACAATTAGTTTATACCTTAATTGAAATAAATCAGATCAAAACGGAAATGTATTTTACTACCTGAACATAAAGCCCAACAAGAAGTGTTGTGGTGAGTCCAGCAACAGCACCAATGCTGATTAGCACTGAAACGTAGGTCAATCCCTTGGACTTAAAAACGTGTGCTAAAGGAGCTTCCTCCCCAAGGAGTTGGTATGGAACCATCCCGGTTAATACTAAGCAGACACCAATGTATAGTGCAACACAGACAAGCAGACTCCCGATAATGCCTAATGGCAGGTCTCTCTAAACGCATTTGACAAAACATGTACTGTAAAAGATACATATTTTAAGCCAGTAATTGTCAAGTGTGAATGGAATTCATCAGCTACTATCTTACCTGAGGTCTTTTAGATTCTTCAGCCGAATTAGCAACTGCATCAAATCCAATATATGCAAAGAAAACCACAGTGGCCCCAGTCAATATTGATCTTACACCATGTGGAGCAAAAGGGGTCCAATTTGAGGCATCAACCTTAAATGCCCCAGCAATGATTACAATAATAACAATGATTATCTGCAAAATGCACATTCTTTGTTAGATAAAAAGGAAACATGTATAATTTTACAAGATGAAGTCAGACACTCAATTCAAATACAACTTCTTAAAGCCTTAGGGATGGGGTGTCATCCTTTTTTTTCTTAAAGCGTTCTGGTCCAATTCAGTAATGCTACTCTCTAGAAATTCCTAATGCAAGAGGAAATAACACTCCCTGTGTCCTATACTCCTATTTAGCTGTCTTTGTTGTCTAAATCATATTATAACATAGTAAGTAGCAATTACTCACTACATATTTTATATGATAAGTAAAAGAAGGGTAAATTTTAAAAAAAGAATTTGATACATAAGAAGCCATGTTTACTAACACATGAGTTGTGAAAACGGAATAGATGTGCAAGGTGAGATCAAGAATGAGCTGGCACAAGTTTTATTTCAATCCTCTTTCTATGTCAAATGAAGATAAGTGAAAGAAGTAAATGACATACTCACCTTTGTCATAGTCACAACTGCATTGAACACAGAGGATTCTCCAACTCCCCGGCATAAAACTAATGTCAAGATTATGAGTAGTAAAGGAGCTAATAGGTTAAAAGAAAAAACTCCAAGATAGACTTGGCTGCCATGCCCAACCCAGCTTGGGATGTGATCCTTGAAGAAAGAAATGAGCTCTAGTGTATTGATTGTATAGCTTGCTAAACTGCGTGCTATGCTAGCTGCACCGATGTGATAATCAAGCATCAACTGTGTAAAAACTAGAAAAGCTGTAAGCTCATTAAAAGCTGTATACGTATATAAATAAGCTCCGCCAACAACTGCAGGAAACCGTGAGGCTAGCTCAGCATAACATAATGCATTAAGGACACAAGATAATCCTGCAATCATGAAACTGATAGTGACCCCTGCATTAAAACAATGAAATCTTTGTCTTTAGGTTGATGAATGAAAGGCTGGAAGCCATTCATATACTTCGTATTAAGTAGTGCTAATCCCCCACTCCAAACTAAATGTGAAGTTTACAACTTTAAACAAGGTTTAAGTGTATAACCGATTCTTGTTGAAGCATGGCTTTTATAACACATCAATCCTAAATATGTTTCAAAAATTGAAACTTGTATCCAACGGTATCATTATGATGCATTGGTCAGATCGGTGGGAAGTGATGTTTTTTGTATTGTTTATTTAGAGCCCGTTTGGTAACCGGTAACCTCTTTTTCGGCTTATTAGTCTTCTCAATCACCTGGTAGATTGTGTAATTATCAAAATACGTAAGACTCAAGTTACTTTTTTGAATGAATTAGGTGATAAGGGTTATTTATCTTTTTTCATATAAATTTTAGTTTATTTTTTAATAAAATGTATTTTACGTAGTAATATATTTTTCATGATTTTGAATATTCAGTAGTTTCAATCACAATTTCATTGATTCGTCCTTAGTCCCAATGAATTCATTTCCAACAAATTGTAACTCGCAGTATTAAAAACCTTTTAAAGTGCACCTAGTTCTTTTATGCAACACCAAATTAACAATTCTACTGCACATGTAAATAGGCAAAAGTTGTGACCAAAATTCTGATCAGAAAAGAAGCAGGTTAGCAGGTATATCCCATCTATATCTGGCCTGCTCTTACAGGTAAAAAAGTTAAGGCCTTTATTATTCTAACCTTAATGCTTAAACATTAAAAATTGGAAGCTTGAGGAAAACAAAAACAGAACAGAAGCAGAAAAGTATAAATCCAGCGCCGAGAGGTCCGATGCAAACTCACCCGGGCCGGCATCGTGGGCAACAGTACCGGTGACTACAAAGATTCCGGCTCCAATGGAAGCGCCAATTCCGAGCAGAAGGAGATCAAATAGGCTGAGACGCCGGACGAGTCCACCCCCATCGCCCGTCCTGATGGAGGTGGTGGACGGTGGAGCTATATTTTTGGACCGGCGAGCTGCCGTGTAAAAGCGAGAAAAGCACGACCCGGACGAATCTGAAGAACCGTCTGGGCGTCTTCCCACCTCCATCTTAGCTCTTCTTCCGTTGCTCAATTAAGCTGATAGCTATGGAGACCAGACAATTCGACCCTTTCTGACTGAAACACAATCCGAAAAGGGAGTGCTGATTTCTGGCGTTATCCACTCTGCAAATTTAGTGCGCACTACCGCGACTGTATACAGCCTACCTTTCGAATCCGGGAAAGTAGTAGGATTAATATATCCCAGATTCCCGTCCATGTGAATTGCGAGATAGATTCCCGTGTGCGGCAAGATTTTTGTGACTTCCGGGATCTCGGAAGCAAATACAGTTTCAGGACAAATTTTTTTAGAACAAGTTTGTTACTTTGAACTAGTAAACTCACCGTGTGATGCACCGCTTGAAAATTTTTCTTTCAAATTTATGTGCGCTTAATAATTCAATTTTGCAAAAACATCACTGGGGTCCCTATGTTTAACGTTAACTCATTATTCAGTACACCAGACAATATTATACTATTCAATAACTCAGGTGTGTGCAGTTCCGTCATTAGATCGGTCGTAGAATCTACCTTAGAAACACTGTCAGAACTAAGATATGTTCTTCACCAATATTAAAATCCGTCATATAGTCATTAACAGCTTCAACCACAGCCAATGTCGGTGCAAAATTGCACGGTCGCGCAAATAACTCATATCACCTGCAGATTCAACATATTCCGGAAATATGCTATCAATTGATCTTCAGGGATAGTAATACGAACATGACCATCATTACTTTCACCCGCAACATCGTCATCAATGTTGGCAATCAAATCTGAAAAAACCTTCAAACCGTAAGAATATAAAGAATTAGTCATGTTCTACAGGCGCATATTTTTTGTCAAACGAAGGACTGCGCATTCCGACCATAGATATGATGAATTAGTCGTAACATTGACTACATCATGTCTACTCCCATGAGGTATCACCGGCAACACCTGCCAAAAATCAAAGGTTTGTATATAAATTAATTGAAGGTAAATTATTTATAATGACTAAGTAATAAGGTGACTATAAATTTACACGAATTTCATTTTTTAGACGAATTGCCTCTCTGAATAGGTAAAATAAGGGATTAAAATATGTCAAAGTGTGTTATGTCATTTTTTGAATTATACTTGAATCTAAATTTGTGGGAAAATGTTCAAATAGGTACTTCTACTATTTCTAATATCCAAGTATGATCTGGTTTGTTTATGTTTGTTTTGGTCTGAGACTGAAATAAATATGTATAAACATTTTAAGTAATATGGTGACTATGCATTTATACGAATTGCATTTTTTTACATGAATTGCCCCGGCAAATTGGCAAATTAGAGGGATGTGCATATATGTGAAAGTGTGTTATGACATTATTAAACAATACTCAAATATGAATTTATGAAAAATAATGCTACCATTTAAGCATAATAACTTTTGAAACACATTACAGGTAGAATATATAGTCGTTCTAAATTCAAAAATAAGTACAACTCTAATGTGATGCTCGGTTGGTGAAATTGAAAGGTTGAAGTTTACTCAAATTAGAAAAAAAAAACACAATAACCGAGTTTGACGGAAAATGAAATGTATTTAATACGATTTAAGGAGTATCAATGATTGTGGAGTAGCACACAAATGTGTATAGTATAACAAAACAGTAACACTCAATACAAATATAATTTGAAAACAAATTACATTCTATGCTTGACTTTATGAAAAACTTATTTATACAGAAAGTTCTTCGTTTCACATTTCATTCTAACATGTCATCGTTTGTGTGCAGTGTCATTTTCTACGTTTAGTTGTTGGTTACTCTTGACACAATCGTGTAAAGTTGATCATGACAAAAAATAATGTTTTTCAACAACGAACCAACATGCGATAACGAAACATGTATAGAATACCTCATGTGATACACAATGGGTGAGTATTTTCAAATATGTATAAATACGCCATTTAAGGGTAAGAAAAACCAAATCAAAATCCGATAATCTAGTGTGGTCTGACTCCAATGATGTTATTGGTCTACGTTTTTATCCTATTTATGAAAATTCGACTATACACATTTATAAAATGTCTAGTATGAAAGAATACTAAGATTGGATTAGAAAATTTATAACCCAGTTCAAACCGTTCAACTTCGATTCAATTATTTTTAATATAGAATCAATATAGTATACCAAAAATGTTTATTCACATGCACCTTGATAACAATATTAAAATAAATTATGTTTCCTGGATTTGAATGGTTAGTTATCCTGGATATTAATATTTGGAAGAAAAAAAGCCATTTTGATAATTCTTCATTTGGGCTTAACCGGACCTATTCGATTCCGGATTGAACCCGATCTAATGAAAGCCAATTGAACTAATGATGTTTTTACTTGAACTGTAATTTAATGATATGGTCGGTTTAAGTCTGATATGATATGATTAAATCTGATTTGGTTCGATCTGAACCGATCTAGTCTACTAAACATGTGGTCTTGATGTATTTTATAACTACGAAAGTCAATTATAGTCTAGTCTGTTAAAATTTGGGTTGAGACTGAAAACAATCCAAGTATAAACATTTTAAATTATTAAAGATCCTTTTTTATCTCTAATTTTCATAACTCAGACATTTTATGGATAATATTTTACATTATCGAACACACTAACATAGATCAGACTAATCCCAACTTTAATACCATCATCTTGAACTCCGACTAAGTAATCCTAATTTAAGGATTAATAAATAATTTAGCCATAAAAAAGAGTTAATATTTCACGTCATACAGAATTAAGAAGGGAAGAATGAACAATTCTTCCAAAACAAAAAGAAGGGAAAGGTGCAATAGGCTGGAACTTCTCTCCAAAATCCTTCTCACTGCTCTCTCTTCGTCCGTAGCATCTAAATCACCACAGCAAGCAGCCTCTTCCAGAACCATTCCTACAACATCGACAATTTCTCCTCTGCCAAATTGGATAGTTAATTTACCACCATACTGAGTAAAATAGTTTCGTTGCCTGCTGTGAAAGAGTATATGAGGATCGGTGTAAGAAATTTGAGGCCGTAATGGTCCTTTTATAGCGGAGTAAAGTGGGAGCAATTCCTACGAATGTCATGTCCCATACCATCCACTATTTACACCTCCCCCATCAACCAATAACACGGATGGAAGGAAAAAGTCTACAGAGAGTTGTTGTCAACAATTTCCACAACACAAATGTCCAATAAGAGGCCTCTATAATGCGGCTGCACTATACCACCGCAACCCTTTGGCCAATAGGAATTCCATTTCATTAATTTTATTTGCTGGCCGAATGTGTTGAGTTAATTCCGAAATTTCATTCATTTTACCATGCCCAGTAATGCGTTGTATTATAAGAACTAACGTTGACAGATATGGACGGGAGTACTGCATCTAAAAATTCTTTTCCTTTTATATAAGAAGAGATATGGATCCGATTACCTTCAAAAAAACTTTAAAATGGGCTGAATGTGTTGAAGTTTAAAAATTCTTGGCGGAAAGACTCATATGTTAAATTTTATGTGTGGGGTATTTGATATGTGTATAAATGTGTATAAATTGTATAAATGTATATTTTTATGTTTTTATGTATAAATTGTATAAATGTATAAATTGTATAAGTGTATAAATTTTAATTGGTAGTGTATAAATGTATATTTTTATGTTTGATTTGTGTGTATTGTTTATCATTTGTATTAGTTTGTAAACATTTGTTTTATTTGGTTTGTAATTGTTTTTAGCTTCCATTTATAAGTTGTAAAGTAGTGGTAGAATTTTTGGCAAGGAAAAGGAGGAAAAACAAGAGGAATGATGCCCAGGGACACTTACCCGGTCGGGTACGATTTAACAAGCGAAAGTGACTGGAAAATCACTGGACCCGGTCGGGTCAGATGTGACCCGGGACAAAATGACGTGCCGAAACACAAGAACGTGGAAGATTATCTGATTTTGACATGCACCCGGTCGGGTGGGCACTTGACCCGGTCGGGTACCCGGCCCAAGGTGTTGAAAAACACCTATAAATATCACATTTTTCCTTCACAAATAATCATTCCTTCTTCCATATACTTAAGCTCAGTTTAGAATAGTTATTTCTTATAGTTTTATAGCATGTTTAGTCTCCAAATGAGGAGCTAAACTCTCATTTCTTGGTTTTGCTCTTGAAGCTTGTTGATTATTAAATGTGTGAGTTATTTTCTTAACTTCTTCTCTTGATTGTTAATTCTTCCCTTAATTTCATTCAATATTAATGTTCGAAGGGTTGCTAAGTGACGATTAGTTAACGTTCCGACATTAATTTTTACTAGAAACGACCAACGAACCGATGGTTAATCGTTGATGGTTTCACAAGTAAGTAACTTCGGTTTATTAATGCACGGTCGTGGTTAATAAACTTAAGAGAGATTAATTTTGTTGGTTAAACTGAAACCGTTGTGTTAAGGTTATCAATCTCAATTGATTTCATCAAGGAGTTAAAAAGATTAAATGCTACTATTAAATCAGTATACGACGTTGTTCTATATTTGATTAATAGTAAGGGTTGTTAATGAATGGTCGTTGTTAATAACTACATTCGATGAATTGGATATACTCCTCGATTGAGTATTCGAGAGGGGATAAGTTATAAATATAACAAGGATCGACTAAAATATATCAACAAGTGGAAAGTAGCAAAGCGAAGTCCCTTTTATTCTTGAATTAAATCTCATATAAGTCATTCATCTTCATGTTCAATTAAATTAAATCACTCAATTCCCCTTTATTTACTAGTTTTATTAAAAAGAGAATTATTCATTTCCCTGTGGATACGAACTCTACTTCACCTATACTACGTATAAGTGCTAGTATCGAATATTATTTTGACGCACTACGACAAAGTGCTCGTCAAACATCCTTCAACAATATGAGGAGAATTCTGGCCAGCAAGTTAATTATCAGAAGTAGTCAGTGATGTTTAGCCCAAACATTAGTGACAAATCCAAGGATTATATTTGCCATTTATTGAGGGTTAACAAGGAGGATAGCAGGGCGCACTATTTGGGATTCCCGTCACTGGTGGACAGAAAGAAAACTGAAATCTTGGGGTACCTGAAGGAGCGAATCATTAGTAGAATCAGCAACTGGAATAATAATTTTTTATCCAAAGCCGGTCGGGAAGTTATGCTTAAGACGGTTATCCAGGCTATACCATCCTATGCGATGAATGTCCTCCTACTTCCAAAAGAATTGTGCTCGCAAATCGAAACCATTATGAATGGATACTGGTGGAAGGGATCCGATTTGACTAGGAAAGGCATCAGGTGGAAGACATGGCAGGCCATGTGCTACCCTAAACAGAAAGGAGGACTTGGGTTTCACTCGTTGAGGGAGTTTAATATAGCAGTGCTGGGAAAACAAGCTTGGAGATTAATCAAGCAACCCGAGTTGTTAGTTGGGCGGATCTTTAAAGCAAAATATTTTCCTAGCTGTTCACTTTTGCAGGCTAAAGCGGGGGGCAATCCCTCATTTAGTTGGAGTAGCATTATACATACCCAAGGTTTGCTGGACGGAGGCATGCGTAGGAAAGTGGGAAATGGCCAAACGATCTCGGTTTGGAAGGAGAGGTGGCTACCCGGAACAAGTGATGGCATGATTCATACACCACCTCCAAATGGAATCTCGGATATGAATGTGGCTGCTTTGCTCAATGAGAGGGGAGGCAGCTGGAACATGACCAGAATCATGTCATTGTTCTCGGTTGAAGAGAGTAAAAATATACTAAGCATTCCTTTGAGTACGAGACTAGTTGAGGATGGGATATGGTGAAAAGCAGATATGATCCACGGGGCATTTTACACGGTGAAGAGTGGCTACAGGGCGCTAAAGGGAGAGCGCCAAGCGACAGGCTGAGCAGGATGGACCAACGTGTGGAATTTAAATATCCCTCCAAATTAAAATTAAATGTTTTTTTTGGCAAGTTATGTCGGGAATTCTTCCAACCTCAGTCAATCTTCACAAAAGGCGAGTGGATGTTGATGGACGTTGCAATGTTTGTGGAGACGAGGCCGAAAGTAAGTTACATCTTTTCTGCGGATGCCAGGTGGCCCAGGCAGTATGGCAGCATCTAGGAACTAATTTTATTAGGCAGGGGGACACATTTGAAGCTCGGGTGAGGAGTTTTTTTTATAACATGCAATAGGAGGCCCTTGGCCTTTTCGTGGTTATACTTTGGAGTTTGTGGAAAGCTCAAAATGCAAAAGTGTGGAAGAATAAATCATTGGGTTGGCGGTAGGTAGCTGAGGAGGGGAAGAATATGGTGGGGAGCTAGGTAGCAGCTCACCGCAACAAGACTGAGCAACGGACCAGGGAACCAGCACCACGGTGGAGAAAGCCGCCGGCGGGCAGCATCAAAGTGAACGCTGACGCGGCTCTAGAGGAAGGAAGAGACAGGAGGCCGCTTGGGCATGGATAGTCAGAGATGATCGGGGGGATTTCTTGGCGGGAGGCAGCTGGTAACAGAGGCCATTGGAGTTCGGGAAGCAATTAATTGGATCAAAGAACAACGATGGCAGCGGGTAAAGGTGGAGACGGACTCTCTAATGGTAACCTCATGTATTATGGACCGAGAAGGTGATTCTTATTTTTGACACAATCCTTGAAGACATTAGACACACTCTTCGCAATGAAGCCAGCGCTTAGAAGTCATACATTGTAAAAGATCCGCGAACAGGGTAGCTCACTCGTTGGTAAGGGTTGCTCTTTCACAACTGGAGTCTTATTTTATTTATGATTCACCACCACATAGCATTGTACTCCATTTGGAGAACGATAGTTTGAATTAATACAAATCAGTTTTTCTTTAAAAAAAACTAATTCTTCCATTCTTAAATAAATGCAACGGTCAACATTTCACATTTGCCGAGACACAACTTTAACCATTAACATCTATAGTTCTCTATTAATAAAAAAATTATATTTTGAAAATTTACAATGAGACAAACTTAACAATATTTTTTTCAAAAATATATATTAATACATTAATAAATAAAATATAGTCAAAGTAGAACATGTGAATAGTGTAAAATTCAACATACTGCATTTATTTAAGAACGAAGATAGTATTATTAACCCTTTGTTGGTTGCGTATTGATTGAGTTCCATTTCCACCCGGGTTGTAACCTTGCTCTCACGCGTGATTTTCTTTCTTTGTCATTCCACGTTCCCACACCGGAAGGGGAGCTGCGTTTCATCTCATCAAACTCTATAGATTGTCCATCCCCCTTTGCCCTTCACAAGAAAGGCTTTAGAGAGTGTTTGCAATTGATTTTGTTTAAAAAAAGCACTTTTGGAGATGTAAGGAAAAAGTGATTAGTAGGAAAAGTTGATAGTGTTTGAGAAAAAAGTGATTATGAAAAGTAAAAGTTGATAGTGTTTGGTAAAATAAGTGCTTTTTGTGTAATAGAAAGGGGAAAAGCACTTTTCACACGCAAGCCGAGAAAAAGTAAAAATTTGTAGTGTTTGGTAAATAAGTGCTTTTTAAGCTAAAAGCTAAGAAGTGCTTTTTTTAAGTGATTGCAAACACTCCCTTAGTAGCTCTAAGAGTCAACAGGTGGGTCACAATTGGGGGTTAAATAATCAACACTGAAAAAAAAAGCATTTTCCAGCATTTGGCTTTAAACAGATAAAAAGAGTGTTTTAAGCAATAATTTCTACTTAAATTAAAAATTAAAAGCTATTACCTCCGTCCCAAAAAGAGTTGCAAATTTGACTTTTCTTAGTCAAACAATCTCGTTTTGTTCACCTAATTAGGATGTCAATTTTTAATTATATTCTAATTTGGAGTTTACAACTTTGAAGAGATTTTAATGTAGTTTTTGAATATGTAAATTTTAATTATTAAAAACTGAATTAATTATCCATAAGGAGGGTTGACTTTTATTATTGGTTGACAAAAAAATATTGACTTTGCAAAACAAATTGGGACGGAGGGAGTATAATTTTTTTTTTCTATTACACAAAAGCACTTATTTTATCAAAAGTATCAACGTTTATTTTTCAAAATCACTTTTTTCTCCAA